AATAAAACTACAAATTCAAATACAGGATTTCCTGTGGTTGATTGTGATTTTGACAAGGAACAAAAACATGTTAGTCTCATTTTTTTCATTTGATATCAATTCATTTAAGTCGTGTCTAATTACATTCATATATATATATATTTAGCATGAATTTCTTTTAAAAGTCTGGAACTCGAATTTTTTGGCTCCTGTCGAATCTATTTTACTAAATGGTGATGCTAGGGTTCTCGATGTTGGGTAAGTTTTGCTTATATTACCACTTTATTTGAAGATATCTTATAAACTTATTTTTAATAAAAGCAGTGGATTTGGTTCGTGGATTTATGATATGGTAATATTTATTATCGATTAATTATCAATTTAATTGATTTTTTTCTCCTAACTCATTAATTACTTCAATTTAAAGGCAAAAAGCTATCCTCTTTCTCATTTTAATGGAATTGATATGCTAGTTCCAAAAAATTTTCTGGCAAATGTCAGCTTTACACAAGCTGATGTATTGGAAGGGTTGCAATATCCAAATTGTTATTTTGACTATATTCACATGAGAGATGTGTTATGGTATATTTCAACAAAAGATGTTCGTAATAAATTATTTCCAGGTAAATTCATTTAATGAAAATGGTTTTCATTAATTAATCAACGAATAAATTGAATTTACCTTTCCTTTATGCATATTTTCATATATTAGATTTGTTACGAGTTTTAAAACCTGGTGGTTGGATTGAAAGTGTAGAATATGATACCGAAATTATGAATAAAGGTCCTAACACCCAGTTCCTTATTGATATATGTAATTTATTATTATTGCTATAAATTATTGTTTTCACTGTCTGTATAACTTTATATTTAAATAACACATTTCATTTTATAGTGTCTAGCTATTTTCGAAATCATGGAATTTATCCTGATGAATTTTATAAAAATACGTCAAAATTATTTAAAGAAAATAAGCTTGAATATCAAGTTGAAGAAAGAATCTTATGCTTTAGTGATTGTGAACTGGTAAATCAAATTTTTTTCCCTTGTGATTTCGCATGTGTTTAAATTTATTTTTAACAAAAATAATAATCAATTTGCAAAAAAAAAAAAAAAAAAAAATTTTTTTTTTATGTAGTCAACACAAAAATTTATTATCATTTTTAAGATTGTAAAATTCGTGATTCTTGAATATACTAGTATTAGTCATGAAAAATATGATGAAATTCTTGATAAAGTTTCGAGTGAACTTATTGAATATAAAACTTCATTTCGGTCGATAAGACATTATGGAAAAAAACTTCCTGGTTAAATTTTAATATTATTAAATATAGTCATTCACTTAAGTACAGCTAGTCTTTCCACTGTAAAATTAAATATGCGCTCATTAATACTGTATTACCTTATTTCGAGATAAATAAATTTCATTCCCCTCACTCCAACTAGGGATCATCCTAATGGATTTTTCCGCATACGACAAGTTGCAGTTACGCTTACGGAAAAATCATGCTAATTAAAAATTAGTATCATTTAACGGTGTATTTTGCTATAGCTAATTAATCAATGTTGCTACTAGCCGTGATTAATTGATGTCATTAACTCTGTAACCAAAATTTATCATGCCTGTATATAAATCGAGTCTTAATTAAAGTCTTCGCAAAAAATGAAGCGTAGCTTATTTTTTCGATACTGTTCTTACAAATAGTTTTTAACCAAACGAAATCCATTAAGCTAATTAAATCTGAATGTTTGAGCTCCAACTTAAATTTTAGTTACCAAATTACATATTAATCGATCAACGCAAGACCCAGAAAAATTTTTTTTGAACATCTGATTTATACCTAACCTATCTTTCCCATTTTGATACACTTTGTTAGACAAAGAAATTTATACGTATCAATGTCTAATGACGCACTCTAACCTGGGAACATTGATTAACACAGTTGAAGATCAGTATCACATATTAGTAGTCAAACTTTTCCTAATTTTACAAATACTTTGTAATGTAACGAAACTTGGGTAATACGCAGCATTATTTATCCGAAGTTATTATATGACCATGTATCACATGTGCGGATGGAATCCTTTTCCAGAATTATGTTTTTGATCTTATTTCTATCTTGTGTTAAAATTATGCATCAAAAAAAAACACAATTTTGGTATCACTTTGTCTATAAAGTATCCTTTGCTACGCTCCGGAAAATAATCTAATATAATTTTGATTGCTTAACCAGTTTACCTATACATAGGTATGTAAATTATTTTGCTCATAGCGTGAATTTAATTGGCTTAATTATTTTTATAACCTAGATTGTAAATAATTTAGAATGTCAATAATAATTCACTTGTAAAAAATTTTTATGTATCAAATATATTTTCGGATGTATAAAATACTTTTAGGATTCCTAAAATATTTTGTTATTCCAAAGTGCTATAATGAAAATCAATAATAGATGATAATGAGTATTAAGGATTAGAACTATTTAACCGTATAAAAAATTGTTTCGTAGTGCCGGGCATAATTTATTATGGGCCAGAATTATCTGAATACCAGGTAAATTAAACAGTTTAATACTAACACTAAATTTTCTAATTAGAAGAGAAATTATATATAGCTCGTTCTTAATTTGTTAATTTATTGATTATTGATTTGTTAGTGCGGTAGTGAACAGGGGGCAATATAGAAACACGTTACACAATTCATGATAATCGTAATTTATACATTTTAAAGTACTTTTTATGAGACTTGTGTAAGCCTTCGTCCCTATGAAACGTGGGAAAACCAACTAAGAAACTTGAAGCTTTCGTGCTGCATTTTAACAATGTCAGTTGAATCCTACAACAACAAATTCTGGACGTTGAGTGGAGAAAAGTTAAAAGCAACAATTTAACAAAGTTAAAGTGTGTTAGAAAATTAGTTTACACGATCTTTTATTTAGATGCTTTATAAATAAATCTTTTAAAAGCACCAATCAAATATATATTAGAGATTGGACCCGTTGAGAAAATCTCTACCCGTAAATTATTAAATTACCCGGATTATCCGGGTAAGTTATTATATATTTCGGGCAATCGTATAGTAACAATTCCAATC